ATTTCTTTAATATTAATTAATTATTTTAAATTAAATTAAATTTACAAAAGAATGTTTGTATTTGTATATGTTTGTTTGAACATATACCGACAACCCTCAAATTATTGGCATTAAAGACTTTTTTAAATAATTACGTATTTTCTAAACAATTTATGTATCCCTTACAAATAATTAGGGTTTTAAAAAACGTGAATTTGAAATTGTGTATTTTTAAAAATTTTATTTGAAATTATGGTTTAAATATTTTTATAAATCCATATCTGCAATCTTATCTCTTTATATATGTTTGTATTTTTGACGAATTGAATACATCTTTTGTTGTTGTCTAGTAAATATTGAAGAATTATGAGAAAACACGGGAAAATTTTTTGATTTACGTTGTAATGTATGAGACAGAGAAATGCATCTTGTACATCTTGGTGAATCATTATTTATTATTAATGGACATAAAATATGTCTCCATTTTATACCATCTTTGTAAGCAACTTTGATACGATTAGTTTCTTGCAATCTTGCAGTATTGTATATACCTAATTTTTAAAATAAAAATATTTAATATTTTTTGTAAATATTATTGAAAAAATAAAAGAAATATAAATACCTTGACAGACGATTCTTTGATCAAATTCATCAATAAGTTCTTCTATATCTAGTAAATTTTGTACTTTTAAATGTTTTCCTTCTTTTATAAGATTGTGTACAAGGGGATTAATCTCTCTATTTACAGCAGCGCAATGTAATATCATATCACTTTTTATAAACACTTGTTTTTCTGTGAAAGGCATTCCACCTTTTGTCATTCCCATATATAAATACACTATTGTTGTTGTATGGCCCTTTGAAGTTACTAAACAAGACCAACCACGAGGTAATAATACTTCTGTACATACTTCAAGTAAATCTTCAAACAACATTTCATTTTCATCAATATTATATGTAGGATAATATGCTTCTAAGTCATTATAATTAAAATTGTTTAGTATTTGGTTTTCTATATATACATTTTCTATTATTTTAAAATCATTATCTGTTAATTTCTCCTTAGAAGGAGTATCTTTTTTCATTGTTTTATGTTCCCATAACAGTGTATCATCTGTTTCAAGAATTTTATAACTTTTAGAGGAAGACTCTGAAATAGTTTTAGGTGTGTTAGAATAAAAAATTTCTCTTGTTACTTCGTCTTGTTCTTTTCTTTCATCTTCAAATTTTATGTCTTCCACTGAGTTTATATGTGGAATAATACTGTTTTTTGTTGAATTTATGATTTTATTCTGTTTTGTTTGATTCAAAGTTCGTTTGGAAGATTCCCTAACTTCAGATTCATCATGAGACATATTACTGATATTTAAACCATTTTCTGATAACTCCATTTTACTTAAAGAGTTTCTCTTCGAGATATAATTATAACCATTAAAATCAGAAGAAAATTGGCAATGCAAAGGTATAATTTTATGATTTTCATTGTTACTTATTTGTAATTTTTCTTCAGTGACAGGTATAAAAACATTTGTTTCTTCCTCTTCCATTGTATTTGATTTTTCTGGGTTAAGTGGTGAATATTTACCTATATTTATATCAGAATCATCAGAATTTTCTTGAGCTTCTGTATTTTCTTCAAGGTGATAGTTTCTTCCAGGCACAGCTCCTGGTCGTAATCTACATTTTTTATATTTAATCTATAAACAGAATAATAGAGTAATAGGTGTTATAATATATTATGGTGTAATGAACATAACATTATTATAACTTACTGTTATAACATGTGGTGGCACTCCACTAACCCAATGTGTAATGATATCATCTTTGTGAAAATGTTTGCTACAAACGTATGTATCATCAGAGACAGCATAATTCTCAATGGCAATGGCATTTTGCCATTTTTTACGCGTTTCTGGGTCTTTTGGTGCTGAGAAGAAGCTATAAGTGTTTCTGTAATTGGTTTCCTTGCACAATACACATTTGCGTGTCATAATGATACTATGAAATGTACTTCTGCGTTATTTTTATAAAATATTTATAACATTATTTTTACATTTTGTATTGATTTTTCTTGTACATATCATATGTTGTGTTACAACTATCTCTGTTTAAAGCGATATATGTTCCAAAACAATAAATCATCGAAACACATAGGTTATAATATTTTTATTTTAAGATGCCGTTAAAAAATAATACACATTTGTTTTAAAACTTCAGTTAATATTATTTGTTGTTAACTCTGTGGAATATTTCAGTTAATTACATACGTTCAACTTGGTTGTTCAGCACTATTCTATATTGTTTTGAAACAACTATACAATCTTTGTCTAACCTGTGTCCTTTAATAAAGGATATTAATGGTAGTATATAATTTTGTAGTACATTTTACAAATTTAGTAATCAGAGAATTTTAAACAGAGATCAATAAATAATCAACATTTTATAGTGTTTTTAATGTCTTATTTATTTTGATTTTATATTTTTACAAGATTTCCATCGCCCTCTGTTGTTAGAGCATTATACGAACGTAAAAGACTAAATCTCATAAAATTTTTATTCACTACGAGTTTTAATAGAAAACAAAATTTTAATTATTATTTGTAGAAATCTATCAATGAAAGATATATAAATTGTTAAATTAGAATTAGGTACGGGAATTTAAAAATAATTGAAAAATTTATGAAATACTGCCTCGTATCGTAATTATACGTGGTAAAAACACCACTATATGTGTTTAATTGTATAATACATTCAAAATTGTGACTTATGAAGGTACTATTTAACTGTCAATTTTCAGAAATCAAAACTATTTTTTATGTATTTTTATTTTTTAATTATTTTTATAATTTTTGTACATGTCGCATTTCTGTATTTACTAGTTTTAATTTCCATTTTATAAATATTCTTATGGTTTATCGCATTGAAGCATTATTTTGTAAAATTCTTAATTATAGACAACTTATGTATTAAACCACAGACGAGATAGAGAATATTCTATGATTGTCGGTAATATAGAATACGTAAAAACATATGTAGGGACGTGTAGCTACATATGTACATACGTGTAGCTACATGTATACATACATTTGTTTTATCATTTGCGCGCGATTTTTTAGATAAGCAGTTACTCGTAACAAGGAAGTAGAACAACGACAAATCCTCGATAGTCAGAGAACACCGATTTCTATTTGATTTTCACGATCGCAAATAATTCACGAATCCGACATTTTCCACGACACTAACCACTTATGAAATTGCAAAGGATCATTGCGTTTTACGCCATGAAGCTCATTTTTTGCGTTACTTTTCAACACATGCCTAAGCAATCGCCGCTTTGGCTGTCTGAAACATTTTCTAAGAACATCCATAACAGTAAAGTGAAAAGATACTTCTTCCTTGTGAATCGAGGAACAAGAAAGCGTTGAAAAAGAACGAAAGTTAACGCGGCCGCTCTTAATGGCGCCTCGACATTGAAAGTAAGTGCACGAAAATTGCATAATTTCATTGGAAACGGTGAAGCCAATCGATTGAACTTAATTGTGCTTTCCGACGGATTTTCTTGTTCAGATTGTTCTTGAAACTTGTTGCTCGTTCTTGAAATACTTCAAGCCTTTATAAATCGTATTCCTCTATATAGTTTTTTTCGTAATTCAGTAACAGGCCTGTTACATGCTTCGTTCACATGCTATAGTTTTGGTTGGATGAACGAGCGTTTAATTGAACTTCAGGATAGTTTCAGTTGATGAACGATTCGTGGAAAAATTGTTCATATCAAGACTATGTAAATAATTTTTGTTTATATATTAATGATTTTTAATTCGAATAATTATGCGAATGGATCTTTAATATGAAAGGTATAGTTTTCATGATAACAATTTAAGGGAATAATAGAAACGAATACTTTGTGTTTTTATTCCTGTGATATCAACCATGTTCATTTTTTTGACAATAAAAATAATTCAAAAAAT